TTTGTACATAATAATATACTCGTATACGCCTATAGCCGAAAATTTGAATCCGTTATTCAAAAGCACGGAACTTTGTGAAACTTGTAGCGTGATCTTGAAACAGTTAAACTGTTAGCTTACGTCTTCAGCATGTTTTGTGAGCCGCTATTTCTGTTCATTTCCCACGCAACGGTTTCCAGTTGCGATTTTTCCCGAGTGTAGTACACATCACGCGCTGCCGATATAAATTCGACTTGAATCCATCATGACACTTAACCCAGCTAATGGTACTCCAGGTATCGAAAATGCTGCTCAATCAAATGAACAGGTGGCCACAGATCGAGTTAGCTTTTTTAAGTTAAAAACAAAAGCAATATTCAACCGGCTTGAGCGAATAGCTTCCGAGATGGACAGTGATAAGCTGCACGGGATGGACGAATACGCTCTGACGGCACTACTGGACTCATTGGGGGAACTGAAGTCAAGTTTCAACGGTGCGCACACAAGCTTGGAGGAATTGGATTTTGATTCAATTTGCAGCGATCTGCCTGGTAAATTCGACTCCACTTTAGTTAACCTCAGATCCACTCTGCAGCGTGAAATTGGAAAGCGTAGTGCACCTCAGCTATGCTCCACATTCAGGGTTAACGCCAATGAGTCGCAATCAATTATAGTGAACACCAACCGATCAAGCTTGCCGTTACTTACACTGCCAAAGTTCACTGGTGCCTATACTGAGTGGACAAACTCCTTCTCCATGTTGGTATCTGTCATCGACAAAGATAGCGACCTTACGCCGGTCGACAAGCTTCAACATCTACGTTCCTGCCTGAGTGGTGCAGCGCTGGATACCATACGTTCTCTAGAAATAAATGAGGCTAATTATAAAAATGCATTCGATCTTTTGCATAAGCGTTTTGATAACAAGCGTCTTATATTTCAGGCACACATCAGGGAGATCTTCGGGCTGGGCAAAGCAGATGGGTCAGTAGGCAGGCTACGGGAACTAACTGACAAAGTCACCGCTCACATACGTGCACTGCAATCGCTTGGGTCCAAGGAGCAAATATCCGACTGTATCATTGTACAACTACTAATACAGAAGTTAGACAAAGCGACTCAATCCAAATGGGAGGAGAATTCGCCGACAAACGAACTACCTTCGTGGGACCAGTTATCTACCTTTCTGGAGAAGCGCTGTAGAACGCTCGAAAACGTCGAACACGTTATGCAAACACCAGTTGGTCAAGCTGGTAAATCTGGTAAAAACGTGAGTACCAACCAAAGAAAATCATTTGTTGCTTCTGGTGGCTCAGTGGGCGGTTGCGTATTTTGTGGATCCCATGAGCATCTGATATACCATTGTCCTCGCTTTACAAATCTGTCGCCAAACCTCCGCCAAAAAGAGGTTAAACAACTCGCTCTATGTCTCAATTGTCTAAAAAAAGGTCATCAGATGCGCGACTGCAAATCGGGGTCTTGTCGTAACTGTCAATCAAAGCACCATACACTTTTGCACTTTGAGCGCTCTGCTCCAACTGCCACCAGCCCTCAAGGCTTAACTTTGAAATCCGCTACAGCCCAACCTAATGCCATGACTGCAGCCTTATCTGCCTCGTCCCAGGCCCTTACTTCTCCATCTGATGTTGTGCTTCTAGCCACTGCGGTAATTTTTGTAAAAAATCGTGCCGGCACTTTCGTACCTTGTCGTGCGCTGTTAGACTCTGGTTTACAGCTGCACTTTATCACCTCTCGTTTCACAAACCAGCTGCAGCTACGCAAAACCAAAACCTTCGCTGGAGTATCTGGCATTGGCGACGTCAACTTTTCAACGGAGGGATACTCGGTCGATCTCGTACTGAAGTCGCGGACTTCTGATTTCTCGACGACGATTACTGCTGTTGTCGCACAAACGATCACTGAAAGTCAACCTGGCCTTACAGTGAGCACCGTTAATTGGCGACTTCCCTCCAACATCCAGCTGGCTGATCCCAACTTCAACATACCACAGCGTATTGATCTGCTAATAGGAGCAGGACTCTTCTTCGAACTTCTCTGTGTGGGCCAAATTCAGTTGGCGCCTGGGCTGCCATTGCTTCAAAAAACTCGGTTTGGTTGGATGCTGTCCGGTGGTGGACAACAAACGCCCAAACTCTCATCTTTCGTCGTACGTCAACGGTCATCTACTGACATTGATTGTAGTACTCGGCTAGATTATTTAGTGCGTCGTTTTTGGGAAATCGACCATGTAATTGAGCCAATCGCTAAAACAACAAAGGAAGAGCTCGACTGCGAAGAGCACTTTAGGCAAAATTATTCGCGTCTGTCTTCAGGCGAGTATTCCGTGCGTCTGCCGATGAAGAGTAGCGTGGAGTCACTAGGTGATTCGTATTTACAGGCACTACATCGCTTTCGCAGTCTTGAACGAAAACTGACTCGCAATCCACAGCTCAAGGAACAATATGTGGCATTCATTAACGAATATTTGGATCTCAACCACATGTCACTAGTCTCCAGTAAGGATGTTCATGACTGTAAGTTTTTCCTTCCACATCACTGTGTCATCAAGGATGACAGCACTACAAAAAAGCTGAGAGTTGTATTTGATGGCTCTGCAGCTACAACTTCGGGCTTGTCGCTGAACGATCTGCTCATGTCAGGTCCAACAATACAACCGAAGCTTTTCAACATCCTCATTAGATTTCGATCGTTTCCCGTCGCACTTACTGGAGACATCTGCAAAATGTATAGATGCGTTCGAGTCACTGCACCAGACGACATGCTCCAGTGTAAACTATGGCGTGACTCTCCACAAGATGACCTACGCGTGTACAAGTTGAATACGGTGACCTATGGAACTAAGCCTGCATCATTTCTGGCTATTCGGGCCATGCATCAGCTCGCGTTTGATGAATCATCAGCATATCCCCTGGGTTCAAAGGTCGTTCTTCGAGACTTCTATGTGGATGATATGATATCTGGTGGCAATTCAGTGCGGGAAGTGCGAAACATTATGCAGCAAACAACAGGTTCTCGAGGTAATTTCCAATTACGGAAATGGTGCTCCAACAGCCCTGATGTTCTCGGCGATATTCCCCAAACAGAAAGAGAAAGCTTTCTCAAATTCGATGACGGCAGTGATATCACCAAGGCTCTGGGACTAGTCTGGGATCCGTTCAAAGACACTCTGTTGTTTTCGTTTTCGCCGATCAGATCTGGCAGAAATTCCAAACGCTCTGTATTAGCTACCATAGCTCGTTTTTACGATCCACTTGGCCTACTAGGCCCCACTCTGACAAGGGCGAAAATTCTTTTACAGCGAATGTGGAGGGATAAGCTCGCGTGGGATGAAAGCTTGCCCCATTCACTGGATACGGCCTGGTCTACGTTTTGTGAAGATTTCGTCAACATTCAACATTCGTCATTTCCGCGCTATGTATTACAGCCTGGAGCCGCGCTTGAAATTCATGCGTTTTGCGACGCTAGCCTTGAAGCATATGGCGCTTGTGTATATGCTCGCTCAACTAAGGATAACAACGTCCAATTACAGTTGCTATGTTCAAAGGCACGCGTTGCTCCACTGAAAACTCTGACTGTGCCCAAGTTGGAACTCAGCGCTGCCGCTCTGCTTGCGCAGTTAGTAGGTCAGATAGCCAAGATGAAGGTTTTTGACTGCCGCTTCTATTGTTGGTCAAATTCGTCGATCGTTCTATCATGGCTGCAGGAAGAATCTTCAAAATTTAACGTTTTCGTCGCTAATCGAATATGTGCTATACAGGAGCTTACACAGGGGATGACTTGGCACTATGTTCCTACAGCCATGAACCCAGCAGACATCCTATCCAAAGGGGCCGCACCAAGAGAGCTCTTGCAATCAGCTCTTTGGATGCACGGTCCAATATTCTTGCACAAAGCAGAAATCAGCTGGCCTGAATTTCGCGAACCACAAACCAAGCTTTTGGAAACTCGTCAAAAGGTATTACTCACATCAAATGATCGACCCGACGTATCTCTTTCATTTAAGTACATCAACTCGTTTGGCAAAATGCAGCGTATTTTTGGTTACGTAAGCAAATTTATCAATATAAAAAAATTGCCAAGGACGTCGCAGCTCACGTCTCGGGACATTCATCATGGGGTTCAGTTGTTAATTCGCATCGTTCAGAGAGCGCAGCTTTGGTCAGATTACGTCGCTCTGAAAAATAAGAGGTGTGTCTCATCATCTAGCAGCATCTCTTCATTATCGCCATTTTTAGATGACATCGGTCTGATTCGAGTTGGCGGTCGCCTGAGGCATTCAACTCTTGGCTTTGAAGCGCGTCACCCGTGTATTCTACCAAAGAATCATCCGCTGACGTTCTCCATAATTGCACATTTTCATCACAAGCATCATCATGTAGGGCCGCAGTCACTACTTGCAGCCATTCGCTTACAATACTGGCCCATAGGTGGCAGAAAAACTGTCGCCCACGCCCTCGGTAAATGCATTATATGTTGTAAATCGAGACCGCGACTCGTCGAGCACATCATGGCTGACTTGCCTAAGGATCGCATTGCGGCCTCACGCGCCTTTATTGTCACTGGTGTAGACTATTGTGGGCCGTTCTATTATAAGCCAGAAATGCGTAACAAGTCCCCTCAAAAATGTTACGTTAGCGTTTTTATCTGCTTCGCAACAAAAGCCGTCTGGATGGAGTTAGTGAAGGACTTATCGACCAGCGCCTTTATCGACGCTCTAAAGAGATTTGTTGCTACTCGTGGCGTACCCAGCTGCATTTGGTCAGATAATGCAACCAACTTCGTAGGCGCAAGAAACGAGTTGAGTGATTTGCGACGCCTATTTTTAAGCGAGGAGCATCGCAGCGAGGTCCATAACCACTGTCTCAACAATGGGTTTGATTGGCGATTCATCCCGCCCCGCTCGCCGCACTTCGGCGGCTTGTGGGAAGCAGCCGTAAAAACAGCTAAGCAGCACTTTTATCGTTCGGTTGGCTCTTCACTTCTTGGCTTTGACGAATTGCGCACTCTGGTATGTCAAATCGCTGCTGTTATTAATTCTCGTCCTCTTGTACCACTTTCAAAAAATCCAGAGGATTTAGACGTATTGACGCCAGGGCATTTCCTGATTGGTGGTCCCCTAATAGCTCTACCTGAACCTGACCTGAGACATTTAAATTGTAATCGTCTTGACCGATGGCAGCGCGCAACTCACGTGCACTAAATTTTCTGGAATCGGTGGAGTCGAGAATATCTCACTCTCCTCCAGCAACGAGCGAAGTGGCGCACACCTCAGGCCAGCATTCAAGTGAACGATATCGTATGCGTCAAGGACGAAAACTCACCGCCTCTGAAGTGGCCCCTGGCCCGTGTAATCGAGGTTATCCCTGGAGCTGATGGTGTAGTACGAGTGGCAGTTTTACGCACGTCTAGTGGAACAACCCGTCGAGCAGTGAACAAGCTGTGCGTCCTTCCAGTAAACGATACTGTTGAAAGCCCTGACCTTTCAACGCGGGGAGTATGTTCGGAGCAGCAGCCGATAATGCAATCAACATAAATCATTAGCCTCACATCGCAATATAAAGCGTTACATTTAAGCTTCAAATATTTTTATCATTTTGTTTAAACTTCTAAACATTTTGTACCACCCTAGCATAAATACCCCCAGTCCGTTATTGAACATATGTACATTATTATTGTAAACCACTCACTTTATATTCCAATTGCAAAACATATGAGCATATACATGGAGGAGGGTAATTACTTGGGCTCATACATACTATTATACTGGACGAATGCAGGCGAACGGGATATGATGTGTACATAGTATGTACAACTGCTGTCGCTCTTAAGGCGGGCGTACAAGCATGTACACATATCCATAAAAAACGGTCCATATGTATATCAAATAATGAGAGCATGTAAAAAAGAACAAGTTTAACTATGTATTACTTTTTATCGCTCGAGGCTCTCATCTGCATAGAATTAAATATCACCGTTGTAAACTCCGTAATTCCCCTTTATGCTCACTATTAAGAACAAACATTTTGTACATAATGTATACATATATACCTACACTAATAGGCTATTGCTCATGCGGAATTAAGATTTGCAATCATTCGATTTTGGCAATAGAACTGAGCAGCAGCTCAGCAGCGGCATAGGTGCATTTTTATAGTTTAAGCTCACGGCAACATCATCGTTTAGAATTCGAAATCAAAAATTAAATAAAAATTAAGTTGTTTCAAGAAATCAAAGGTGTTGACCTTTTCTTGTTAATTTGAAGTTCAATAGCTGCAAAAAAAGCTTTGCAGCTCAACAATACCTAAAAATCGATATTTTAAAAAGTAATTTCAAACTTAGTTTTTTTTAATTCCTTTTCGTTTGGCATTGGGATACTAATTTCAATTTACAGATAAATTAAGTTGCCTTTGATTTTTTAAACACGTGTCAACTCTCCTCTATACACTTCAGAAATTAATCAGTTTTAAAATCAGTTCTATTAACAACCATCTCCTAATTATTAATTTCATTTTTTAAATAATTTGAATTGAGATATATTATTTGTTTTGAGCTTGATTATTACATTTTTAAAAACTTTACAGCACAAAATAAAAACAAATCGATTGAATAGTTTTCCAAATACCTCGAGAACGGGGCGAAGATAAAATTTTAAAGAAATCACACATACACACATCAAAATTCTCTATGAAAACAAATAAATTTTTTTCTGTTGAAAGATTTTTCACATACACATTTTTTGAAAAAAAATTAATTTTTTGAAAATATGCCATCTCAGAAAAACTGAAAAATGTAACAATGGTAGCTCTGAGTATTGCGCAATATTTAAGTATAGTATTACTATAGTATTACTCTACAATAATTTCAGTTATGAATTTTTTTACACCGAAGTAGAGTAAAATGAATACATTAAAAATTTACAAATTTTTAATGTTTTTTTTAGATTTTTTTGAGTATACAACCTCGTAGCTAAATTTTAGTATAATAAAGTGCAAGTTTTAAGCCACTGCAAAATTGTGTTGATTTTTTAAATTTTTTATGCTGACGACTTTTTTCACTTTTTTCTTGGGGAAGAAAATGCGCAAAACCTTTTCAAAGAAAAAAATAAATAAAATTATTAACGCCAATTTTGCAATCGCCTAAAACTTGCACTTTATTACACTAAAATTGAATGGGCAACAAAACTGCATACTCAAAAAAATTAAAAAAAAATGCATGTACTAATTTTACTCAACTTCGGTGTAAAATAAAATTCATAACTCAAATTATTGTAGAGTGCACCCCATAATACTATATTTAAATATTGCACAATACTCAGAGGTACCATTGTATTTTTTTTTGAATTTTTTCTGTGATGGCATATTTTCAAAAACTAATTTTTTATCAAAAAATTTAAATGTGAAAAAATTTTCAAGAAAAAAAATTTGTTTTTGTTATTTTATGGCCTTATAACAATTATATTCAACAATTTTTATTGAGCTTGAGGCCGTTTTAAATGAAAAACTTATTGTGGAAAAGCAACAATAATTTGAAAAAATGGTAGAAGTGATAGCTATTTCGGAAATCACCACATTTCCTCATCAGACTTCTTTCAGTAGGACTCGAACCGATGATCCCACTGACTCAGCCAGTTGCCTACGCACTGTGCTAAGTTCGCCTTGTAAATTATCGTTGCGTGTAGGCAAAAGGAAGAGTTAGAAAAAATAGCAATGCGGTTTGAAGGAAACATAATATGTGCCATAAAATGTTTGTTTGTTTCGTTAGTTCTCCTAACCTTTTAGGATATGAAACTCCATTCTTTGCATTAGTTTGCAAATATACACTTATTGTTCTACAATGGCAAACATATTCGTGTGATGTTTTTTTTTTGATTTCGAATTGAAAATACATTATGATCATATTGTACCGAAATAAGTGTGGTATCCCTGCATTTTGTAAAAGCCAGAAAAAAGCATAAACTGTATGAAAAAATTAAAGGGAGAAGTATACATGCCTTCTATAAATTTGACTTATATGCATGATTCAATCTACATAGGAATTGGATAGCGGCATCTATACAACATTTTTGCTGTAAACCAGTGTAATTATTTAGTGATATTATAGCCAAACCAGTGTTGTACCAATGACATGTAAACAAAAATTGTAGTTTCACAGTTCCACAGGTTTTAGTCCGAAGCTCAAAGTAACATACCAATAATAAATAAAGTAACGTATTTCAAAGATAAGTAAAAATGTATGTATGTGACTTTAAAGTGTTTAAAGCACGGTGCACATTAGTGCGATACGATATGCGATACGATCGCTATACGAAATGCGATGCGATATGAAATGCGCGCAGTGCACATTAGAGCGATGCGATACGCGATGCGACATGCGATGCGACATGCGATGCGACACGCGATACCATTTTGTGATAGCTACACAAAACATTTGTGCTCTTATAAGCTTGTAAATGAGTTGCTTCTAAACCGAGTTTAGACCTTTCGAATGATGGGTATATGTTTATATCTATAAACTTTTAAAAAAATTAAGAGAAAAGTATGTTTAATATCGAGTAAAACTGATGTTTATTTTTACAAAGTCGGCTAAAAATTAAATGAGATATTCAAATTTTCATGACAAATTATTTCAGAATATTGCGTTCACTACAAGGAGAAATCGGTGAAAACTGAATTAAAAAAGGTAAAGCAAAATTGGTTTAGTTATATAGCCAAAAATATTATTTTTCTCCTGAAAGGTTGAATAACTTAGTCAGATTTCCCCCGATTTTTTAAAGTATCAATCACTATATATCAAATGTTAATATTGCATCAATTCAGGGGTAGTATAGTTGCTTTACAAAATAGTGCGTGAAAACTTTGGCAAATTTGAAAAAAGACGAAAAAATTAACATAGAAAATACACACAGATCTCTTAAGTTTTCTAAAAGTTTATATGTATACATATATCATTCGAAAGGTCTAAACTCGGTTTATAGTCAACTGAGTTACAAGCAGATAAGTGCGGAAAACCGGTTTTTAACAGTAAATCAAGATTGTGTGGCTGTTTGACAAAAATTTCGTGTCTCGATTCTTACTTCACTCGGCAAAACCTACCTGAAAAATAGCATGACTTACCAGGTATTTTTACTTCATTTTTTTTGTAGCATTGTGTCAAGGCGAATTTATATAAGGTGGTGTTACTAGCTCAGCTGATTTTGTGTATGTGTTTCGCCGCACGGCTTCTGATATCAAATTGAAAAATTTTGTTTGAATTTATACACACACTCTTACAGATTTGGACAGTTTATGCCGTCAAAGCAAAAACAAAATACATGTAAATTTTTGTTTTTGTACTCCTTCTATCACCTTATATTAATTCCAAGGCATAACCAAGGTGTATTAAACAAGGTGTGATTGACAACTCAGTGCGGCTCTCTTTTAAGGTACTATAATGTCAAAAATTATAAACAAACGAATTAACCCTTAGTGATGCATGTATCTTGTCAGCACTGATACCCAAGGCTTTTATTTTGACTATAGTTTTGTTTTGCTTATATTACCTGGAATATATATTTTGTCAATAAAATAAAACAAATTGTTTATAAAATCGTTTTAGCAATTTTCTTGTTTTTAATTGCCCAAGTTTTATGCTTTTGTGCGTTTATTTTTGTATTTAAATTTTTTATCCTAAACATTATTCGACACTTATAAAAGTATGATTTTACATTTGTTTCCAATTTTATATGAGAGCTCAACACTAACAATTTTGAAATTAAATTTTTTTTCATGCGAAATAGTTTGGGTATAAAAGAGCTCGTTTGAAAGTGCTTGACTCGGACGGACAACAAATGAAATCACTTTCCTTGAAGTGGTTTTCACAAAGCGAGATGAATCACGTAGTACAACACTACATCGCTGCCGTCTTAACTCGCAACTAGGTGGTTTAAAACATCGCACTATTTTCGTGTTCTGACTTCTATTGCATACAGCGCACCGTTCAAAAGTTTTGCTCCGTTTCATCTTGGTTTCCTTACATTAAATATTTAAGCAAAGTCGAACGTATTTACTTGTTACCAAACTTTAAATGTGCTTACTTGCTCTCCTCGGCGGTTTATCTCTTAACAATTTCACGTTTATTAAGAAAATTTGTTGCTTGAAAAATTTTTGTGTAAATTTTTTTAAAACAAATTCAAATTTGAAAAAAAAAATTCAAATGGGTTAACAATTCATTTCAATTTGACATTATAGCCTGTTTCTTATGAGAGCAATGTCAAAATCAATCACACTTTATTGAATACATTTTGGGCATAACAAGGTAGAAGTGATTTCGACATTTCTCTCTTTTGAACTGCGACTAAAATGTCAACTCTTAACCCTATACTATTCAAAATTTTAATTTTTTTAATATAAATTTTCAATTGTGAGCTGTGCGACTGATTTTAAATACATAATAAAATGAAAAGGAATTACGGGCGGTATGTTGTGTTTGACAAGAGCCAGGACTAGGTACACGAATTTCGATATGATACGATACCATACCGATACTTTTGGCATTCGATACCGATATTTTCTACTCGATAGTTTTAAAACGATATTTTTTGGAATCGAGTACCAGAACCCTAGTATCGTATCGAATGTCATAAACTCACATTCGCACACTGAGGGAAAAAAATTTTAGAATTAAAAAAAAACGTGCTAAATTGAAAAAATATGCATATGAAAGAGTACCAAACCAACTCGTTTTAAATTTGAGTATATACGTTATAAAATATGTGGTTGTGAAGTGCACAGAAGAGTTTTCGTAATTAAGAAAAAAAAATTAATTTTATATGTTCCGTCGATGGATTCAACCCGGACCCTCTTGGCCGCAACCAATTGTATCAAGCGTCTTTGCACACTCAGCTACAGCCATACATGTAAAGGTGTTTTCAAATGTTGAGTTTGAATCAACATCACAGCGCGTGATTAGTGTATTATATCGTACCATGTATGTGTGTATGTGTTGTCACCGCTGTGCATGCTTTGTATACCATATACTTTCTTAATTATATATTAAAAAGCATCCGAGACGTGCAAAACGCCATTCGTGTAGTGAAAAATGCTTCATTTTAATACGGGCGTATTTGAATTGAATATTTCCATTATATGTATGACGTAGTGTATGTATAATGGAAAAATCCATTTTGTTACGACTTTTCACTTGATTTAAATACGAACATTTTTAAACGGTAATCAAATAAAAAAATTTTATTCTTACAACGCGTTATTTTTCTCAGTGAAGGATAATGTTATTAACAGCTCAACCTTATATTACCGACGATAGTTTTTCTACGCACGCACGCAAGTTTTTCTCATTTGATAAACCCAAATCAATTTTCGTGCGTGATTTCTCAGAGTTGCATTTCTGTCAAATTTACAGTAGTTTGCTGAGAAAAATTTGAATTCATAGTCGCGCCAATATGCCAATTGAGTATAAACGTTAAATCGAAATGTCACGCAAGACAAGGTTGGCCTGTAACAATTCTTCCCGATATAAATTGGGCTTTAAAGTGTAGAAATTTGTACTATGGTTAGGATTGCATGTGGTGGGATTTGAACCCGCGGCCTCGGTGCTTAAGTCAACACCTCAATCTCTACGTGTTGTAATAATAATAAAGACCGGCGCTTACACAATATGTTAGTGTTTGGCCGAACTTCTCCTCCGATTTGTCCCGTGGGCCTTAATGTTGTGGCACAAAGGGGGTGCCTACAGTTTTTTGTCGACTCTGAACGGCGATTGTATTTTATGGGAAGCTGTTTTTCATTTTCAAGGTTTGCGCACTTCTAACCACTACACCCCAGCGCACTATATGCGAGACCTATATTCAGATAATTTTTTTGGTTTTTGATATCG